CCGGACTGACCCAGTGAGACACAGAAACCGGACTGACCCAGTGAGACACAGAAACCGGACTGACCCAGTGAGACACTGGCTTGGTGGAGTTTCATCCGTTCGTCTACAGAATAGCTTCAACTCTGGATGTTGGTGGTTTCCTCACATTAACTGCAGTTTCAGGTCCTTCCACAACATCTGGATTGGATGAAGGTCAGGACTTTGACTTGGCCATTCCACAACTTTATTCTTCTTGAACCATTCTTTGGTAGAACCACTTGTGTGCTGAGGGTCGTTGTCTCGCTGCATGGCCCACCTTCTCTTCAGATTCACTTCATGGACAGATGTTCTGACATTTTCCTTTAGAATCCTCTGATATAATCCAGAATTCATTATTCCATCAATGATGGCAAGCCGTCCTGGCCCAGATGCAGCAGAACAGACCCAAACCATTGTACTACCACCACCATGTTTCCCAGATGGGATAAGGTTCTTGTGCAGGAATGCTGTTGTCCTTTCTCTAAACATAACACTTTTCATTTAAACCAAAACGTTTTATTTTGAACTCCTCAGAAGTCTCTTTTGTTCCTGCCCTTCCACCAACATGTTGGAAGAACAGACTTTGATAGATCCTGTTCTTTAGATCAATCAGGGTACCCACTCCCCCTGATCATCATCATTGATTGAAAACACCTGACTCTAATTTCACCTTCAAATTAGTGATAATATCCTAGAGGTTCATATACTTTTACCACTCACAGATATGTAATACTGGATCATTTTCCTCCATAAATAAATGACCCAGTTTAATATTTTGCCTCATTAGTTTAACTGGATTCTCTTTATCTACTTTTAGGACTTGTGTGAAACTCTGAAGATGTTTGAGCTCATATTGGTGCAGAAATATAGAAAATGATCAAGAGATCACAAACATTCAAGCACCACTGTACATGTGACGAGATAACACGCTTAAACTTTGTGTCTGAAGGGTCCCGGTGCAACATGGTCGTCTTTAAGGCCGTCCAGCACACCAACGATGAGAACTGTCTGCTGTTCCACTGTCCCACCGAGCTGGACTGTCCTCTGATGAAGGCTGAGGACGGCATCAACACCTACAACATCTACAAAGGTAAGCCGCTCAGTGGTGTGCTGCCATCTGATTAGATGTTTGTTTGAACGGTGGTTCCCAAGCGTTCACCTGTCCACCATTAAACAAACCATAGAGCCTGGTCACCACCAACGTCACAGTCTTCAGTTGGGACTGGGCAGCCATTTAACTTCATCGGTCTCCGAGGTGTTTTTCATGAACGTATGACCACTGTTTGAGCGTCTTTGTAACAGCCAGCGCTAAATATGTCAGTAATGGCAGAGTTAGTCTGCTTTCTGTAGACCTTCTCAGAACCTTCTGATGTTTCACTACAAGGGTCCCCAACCTTCAGAATCTGAAACGTGGACCACCTGAGGCCGGTCTCTGCCACCCTCTGCTGGACAACCGTCTCAGGAAGGACAATCATTTTTGTTGTCTTTTCTACTCCACAGGTTTGACTCATCCGCCCACTCCGAGGCCCGTCGCCATGACAACCACAGTCCAAACCACCACCGGCACCACCCCCTCAACCACAGTCCAAACCACCACCAGCACCACCCCCTCAACCACAGTCCAAACCACCTCCGGCACCACCCCCTCAACCACAGTCCACACCACCACCGGCACCACCCCTTCAACCACAGTCCACACCACCTCCGGCACCACCCCTTCAACCACAGTCCACACCACCACTGGCACCACCCCCTCAACCACAGTCCACACCACCACTACATCAGCACTAGCTACACACCCAACCACCACACAGGCTCCACCCACCACCACAGGATCTCCTCAATCCAGCATCTTCATCACCTCAATGCCTGCGAGTCCATCACCACTGACCACCCCCACCCCAACAACAACCCCAACAACAACAAGAAATGGATTCGCTCCAGCCTTCGACTTGAAGAAACCCAACAAAAGCAGCAAAAAGCAAAACAAGCCCACAAAGAAAGGAAAACCACATCCTGTCAGCACCATTAGCACCACCCAGCCACCCCCCAGCTCCACGAGATCACTTCCTGTTCAAACGGTGGGCAAAGGGGCGGAGCCTAGAACGTTGGACACCACACAGTCGCACACAGAAACTACAACTACACCTCCTACCACCACCTCTGCTCCACCTCCAACCCAATGGTCCACTACCACCACCACAGCTTCACCAAGCCTGATAATTATACCCAAAGACATCTTCCAATCGGATCACGTCCTCCAGTCTGGACACGCCCTCCAGAACTCCAGTACCAGCCAGACAAAGGTGGCGCAGGGGGCGCTGAAGAGCGGCGTGGTGGCCTTCATGGTGCTAGGGCTCGCTGTGCTAATACTGGCTCTGGCGGTCGGTGGACGTAAGGCGATGGAGTCGTTCGATCGACGCCATTACACGAGACTGGAGCTCAACGATCTGCACTACGAGATTTAGTGAGATTAGGGATTTAGGTAGAAGTCTGCCTTGCTTCTTTGAGGTTGATTGAAAACGTTTTGAGTATCTCATGCGGAGTTAGAGGCTGCGTGGAAACCAGGGCTCTGAAACCGTTTGCTTGTTAACACACTAAAAACTGCCGTTTTAAAACAACCCAGTCTGTAACCAGCGCTGGGTCGAGTTTCAACCCAGCTGGTTGTGGGTTCGACCCAGCAGACCGGGTTGAGTTTTCAAACCAAAATTTGAGTATAAATGACAAATTTGTTGAACTTGAGCCACTAGAAAGTTGAATTAAAAAGAAAAACCTAAACTCTGGATCTGTAGATATTTACAACTGATGTTGGTGCAAGCTAGCTGGTGCTAATTGCTATTAGCATCAGCTAGCTAACACCAACTCAGGTTATTTCAGGGACCCAAACTCACCATCTAGTGCAAAGTAAAGTGATCAACAACCAGGTTAAACATCTTCTTACAAGTTGTTTTTAACATTTTTACCTATGCCATCTTGCAGTAAAGGTCCGGTCCGGTTGGGTCAACTTCTGGTTAAAGGTTGAAATGGGAAGAATGATAAGTCTCATCTCTGACCGAACTGCTGCGTCAATCTGACCCAAAGTTGGGTCAGACCAACCAAACCTGTGACCCACCGGCTTTTATCCGGACTCTTAGTTTTCTAAAGAACCCAGCAGTTTTTAGTGTGAATGTCTTCAAGATGGACAAGCGTCTCTGCCTCTTCCTGTTGGTCAATATTTGATCTATGGGAGTCAGGGTCACAAAGGGTGAGGACCTCTAAGCTCCGCCTACTATCCCTACACACACCAATGGTGTCAAATTACTTTTACGTACACGTGAAATTAATAATCCCAACTAAAGATTTTTGAAAACGGAGTATCTGGTTGTTCGGCAGCAAGGTAAAAACTACAGGAATCAACTTGAGTCATGCTTGAAAAAATTAGTGTTTAAAATTTTATTTTAAAAAGTCCCTTTTTTCTTTAAAAGGGGAGGGGCTTAAACATATAGCAGCACCAATCACCAGGGGGCGCTTGGTGTCAGCTTCAACTTCTGCGTTATGTTCCTGTGTTCACCTATTGATTACATTTAAAATAAGACACGCCCACTCAACTCTGATCGTTCATCTCCAATGGTCAATTTTAAAGGACTTCCCACCTTGTGTAGAAGGTGGGGCTTTGATTGGCTGAAGTTAGGCCCCGCCCCCTGACTCTTCAGAAGTTTGGTTCTGGTTCTTTGGATCATTTTAATATCACTTATTTTAATCAACATGTTTAAACTGGAAACATTAATATTTTTTAGCTTTTGTTAAAAACCAACAATAATTAGATATGAGAAGCTAAATTTGTTGATTTTATTTATCACTGTGATTTGGTCTATTTCCATTGATTTGTGCTTATTTCATTTGCTCAACTAAGTTATTTAAATGTAATTATGATTAAGAATAATGTGATTTAAAGGAAAAGTTCAAACTGAAATGGGTGAAACTGTTTCACGGTTTTAATCTATTGCACTGGTCGTAAGAACCTTTAAAACAACCAGCTTGTTATTTCAGTGAGAATTCTTATCTGAAAGCTCTTTGACTTCTTGTGTCAATGATTTCACAGAGTGGAAGAAAAATAACTTGACACAGCGTTTTATACCAACCTCCCAGTTTTTACTAGTTTAAATCAAATGAAACCACCGATGGTTGAAGGAAAACTTGGGAGTCTGTGTGAGGTTTTACAGACACTTTGACTTCAAATGTTCATCCCATTTGGACGTCCAGCTGTCCCACAGACCCCTCCTGTCCTCCGTGACGACAGATCAGACAGCAATACTTTAACACTCAGGAAGCCTGAAGTGGAGCTAAGGTTCCCGTATTCTTCAGCCCGTAGTGATCGGTGTAGATGTCACTCTGTCACTGTGTGTTTTTAACATTTATTCCACTTTTCTCTTGTATCACACGATAGGTGCAATTCCTTGATGCACTGATGTTTTTTGATAAACCTGATGGACAAGAGAACACTGGCTGAGCACCATTTTCTTATATTACTGGTAATCATGTTTGTACCTGCTGTGACAACCTCCCACCACCAGGGAGCAGCAGGGCCTGATGGAGTAAGTTCTGAAGAACACATGGTGCACATGGTCCTCAAAGTGGGAAGGCCGGCCCTGACTGGATGTGTTGGGTCCAATCCACAGAGTCAGGAAATCCATCCATCCATCCATCATCATCTTCAAATTCAGCTGTTTGGAGTCACCATGAGAGAATGTCCTAGCCAGACTGTTAAGGCAGACCCAAACACAATGTTGATATCTGAATCTGGACCTGGCCTTGGAAGACAGACTATCTCAAATTTCTCCTTGGCTGTTATGGAAACAAAGACGCTCTGTCCCCCTCCCCACCCCCACACTTCCCCAAGGTCGTGGACCTGTGACTGAGCTCAACTGAGCTGGCTGATAAACAAACACCTCTTACCAGGACTATGGCTGGGGAGGGGGGGAGAGGCACTCTGGGCTGTGCTATGACCTTCCCTCAAACTCAGTGCCTCCACTGGCCTCCCTCGCCTCTCCTGTCACAGCACCTAGGAGATGCGAAAGCGCCAAGGGCTTCGTCACTCACCTAGCGGCCATGCTGGGACCCCCACTCCACATGTGTTATGTCTATTTATGTTACTTTGCTGTGGTAGATTTTTTTGATGCCTCAAACCGTGCCCTGTCTAGGACACAGTGTGAGAGATTTTTTTATACCTCTCTCCTTATGTTTTCTTCCCCTTTTTTTATCTAAGCAACAGGGGCAGCATATCTTTGAAGCTACAGCCCCCTGTACACTTCTGTCCATCTTTAGGATGGCTGTACAGAAAGTAATTTCATTGTACTTCACTGTGCAAGGATAGTAAAAGCATTCTGATTCTTATTCTGAAGTCAGGTCGCAGGGGCAGCAGCTTGAGCAGGGAGGCGCATACATCACTTTCCACAGCCACTTCTTCCAGCTCTTCTGGGACGATCCTAAGGCATTCCCAGGTCAACCGAGGGACGTAGTCTCTCCAGCATGTTCTGGGTCTTCCCCGGGGTCTCCTCTCAGTCGAACATGCCCGAAGCACCTCGCTAGAGAGGTGTCCATGGAGCATCCTTACCAGATGCCCGAATCACGTCAACTGGCTTCTCTGGATGTGGAGTAACAGTGGTTCTACTCTGAGTCTCTCCTGATAACGAAAATTCTCACCTTGTCTCTAATGAAGAGTCCAGCTACCCTGCAGAGGAAACTCATTTTAACTGCCTATATCCACGATCTCATTCTTTCAGTCACTACCCAGAGTTCATGACCATATGTGAGGGGAGGACCGTAGACTGACCGGTAAACAGAGAGCTTTGCCTTACGGCTCAGCTCCCTCTTCACCACAACAAACTGGCACAGAGTCCACAATACTGCAGACGCTGCACCAATCCATCTGTCCATGTCACGCTCCATTCTTCTGTCACTTGTGAACAAAACCCAGAGATACTTGAACTCCTCCATTTGAGACAGAACCTCACCCTCGACCTGAAGAGAGCAATCCACCCTTTTCTGGTTGAGGACCATGGCCTCAGATTTGGAGGTGCTGATTTTCATCCCAGCTGCTTCACACTCGGCTGCAAAACTGCTCCAGTGAGAGCTGAAGATCATGGCACGATGACGCCAACAGGACCACATCATCTGCAAATAGTAGAGATGGAATTCAGAGGCTACCGAACCGGACTCTCTCCGCCCCCTGGCTGCACCGAGAAATTCTGTCCATAAAAGTTTTGAACAGAATCTGTGACACCGGGCAGTTTTGGCAGAGTCCAACTCCCACCCTGAAAATAAATACGAAAAAAGCAAAACAGTCAGGAAGTCTTTTTTTTTTTTTACTTTGGCGTTACAGATGATTGGTACGTATTTGTTTCCGTGTCCTTCACATTTAATGGAAGCTAGCTCTTCCTGGAACACCTACTTCCTGACCCTGTAGATTGAACAAAGCACTTCCAGGAGATTAAGCATTGCCAGTTCAGGATGGACCCTCCCATTTTGAGGACGCCCCGCCCCTTTGTGTTCCACAGGGACTTGTCCTCGGCCTGATGCGGCCTCCCTCCATCAGGGGGCGGCAGCAGCCTGATTGTTTGCACAGATGCTAATAGTTTGGTCTTGTTTTGTGAAGTGATGCTTTTAAACAAGTTTAAAATGTGATGCTTTGTTGTAAAGAATAAAAAATGTGATTTTTGAACATGTCTGTATTTCACTCTGAACAAATTTGGGCCCTCCTTGCAGACAGAAGACAGCTCACAATGTAAAACAGACGTTAGTCAAAGGTTCATGGAGAATGGGCGATCATGTGGATCGCCTGTGTGCGTGAGGCTCACGCAGCTCCCAGCTCAGACACTTTCAGAAGTAGTAACTCACACTATCTCAATAAATCAAGTCGACGTGAATTAAAGTTTACCAGTCCTATTAAATTAGGCAGGAAAAATTAAAGTTTAACTTCCAACTAATATGGGCCTAGGCTCTGCCTTCTTTCAGGAGCACAGCCTATCAAGTGGATAGAGGGGCAGACTAAATGTGATCCCAGTGGATCTTATGTGATCTGACGTGTCAGGAAAAAAATGATACAGTGCACAAAGCCTCTCTTGTGTGATGAGGCGAGCCAATAAAGAAATACCAAATAAATAAAAACTGTTCCTTTACGGATATTGAATCCCTGGGAGACTCTTTTTAGAGTTGCTGGCCCTGTTTAAACCGGTCAGAACTGGGTCATAATCTCATTTTAATCCGTCTCTGAGCAGATAAAAAAACCAGGGTCAGTCTAGATATAATACAACTCCTCCTGGTTCCAGGGACCCAGTTCAAGACCGCCGGAATTGATTCAATTCAGTTTATTTATATGGCACCATATCACAACAAAGGGCAGCACGGTGGTGCAACTGGTAGAGCTGCTGCCTCTCAGCGAGCAGGTCCCTGGTTCAAACCCCGGTCCAGGGGCCTTTCTGGGTGGAGTTTGCATGTTCTCTCCGTGCATGCGTGGGTTTTCTCCGGGTGCTCCGGTTTCCTCCCACAGACCAAAAACATGCATGTTAGGCTGATTGGTAACTCTAAATTGTCCCTAGGTGTGAGTGAGAGAGTGAATGGTTGTTTGTCTTGTTTGTCTCTATGTGTCCCTGTGATGGACTGGAGACCTGTCCAGGGTGTACCCCGCCCCTCGCACAGTGATTGCTGGACATGGGCACCGGCGACCCCCGTGACCCACAATGGAATAAACGGGTAAAGATAATGGATGGATGGATGGATATCACAACAAAGTTGTCTCAGGGACATACATATACACAGAGAAGCTAATTAGTAAAGTTCTCTATTTAAGGAAGCAAGCTGAAGCAATCAGTTTTCTCCAGGTGTTTGAATGTAAACTATTCGTATGTGTGCACAGAGGATGCCTTCTGGCTGTAGACGTGTGACCTGCCTTCTTTAGGTCAATTACCTGTCTCAGCTCCAGCAATCCCCTAATGAGACGCATGACATTATGGAAATATTTATAACTTTGACTATGTCAGTACTAAAAAATATTTGATTTGAGGATTGCAAAAAGCGTTCTGATCTAAGAAGGTTTATCATTCGTAGACCCTGATCTCTCTTTGGCTCTTCAAGGTGGGCTTCCCCGGGCCTGGTTCATCTGGAGAGGGGAAAAACCCCCAGTGCCTCGGTCTTTCCAATCATGCAATACTCAATTGCTTTCCAATTAATTGGCACCGAGAGCTGCTGGTATTTTAGCCTGTCACAGCAGAACTGTGTGTGAACAAATAAAACTGATATAAACTTTATTCTAAGTGTTTGCGTGTTGTATGTAAATAACATCACCTCCCAACTCCCCTGGTGGCCTGATATAAAGCACATACCATAAAGATATTAAAATTTTATGACTTGGTTGATTACAATATCTTACTGTTTATGTATGGGGCCAACAAAAACATACTACCTACTAACATTCAAGGGAAATTTGTTAAAAGAGAAAGTAATTATTATCTTAAGGGGATGGAGATGTTTGTGAAGCCGTGGTGTCGCACCAGTCTGAAGATGTGATCCACTAGATCTCAGGGTGTTAGATTGTGGAATGATCCGGAGGTTGATATTAAAAATGCCAAAACGATTTACATATTCAAGAGGATGATAAAAATTTGTTTAAAAAAAAAAAAATTAAGTATAATGTGAGTTCATAAAAATTGTTTACAGTTGATCTTATATTTTAGCTAAGTTTTTATTTTATTATTAATTCATCTTGCTTTTGTATAGTAATTTTGTTTGGAATATATTTTGGGGACAAGGGGCAGATATTATAAGAACTCATTCTTCTTCTGCTGCCTTTCATTTTATTTCTGTGACTGTATATCTTTTTTCTTTTCTTTAAATTGTATTATATTTGTTGTTTGGATGAAATGAATAAATAAAACATACATACATGCCACCAAGTTAACAATAAAACCATTTTTCTGTTCTTGTGTTTAAATATTTTTAGCTTCAGACTAGTCTTTTGCTATTTTTAGGCGTTTGCTTCTTTTAGCATTTTGCAAATTTTAGCTGTTAACGAACATTTTGCTCCGATCACATAGCACTTTGCAACTTTTAACTAATTTTGACCTTTTCAGCCTTTAGCTAATATTTAGCAACTGTTGTGCTTCATTTGATCAATTTTGCTACGTTTGTATTTCAGCTAGCGTTTGTTTTAGCTGGTTTCACTCCTTCAGTGTTTGTTATGAATATTCTGCCACTTTGAACTGCCTTTCAATAATTGCAGCTTCCATTTTTAGATACTGTGCATCATTTAGCTAAAATGCAGTTAATTTTAGCTACTTTTAATTAGTTTTGACCTGAAACTGCCCTTAAATTTTGCACGGATCGGACACTTGACGCGCAGTATCGCATCCATATGGCAGCCCTGGTGACGTACTTCCGGTTGTGGAGGTCACGTGGCTGCGGTGACGCTGCTGCGTTTCTTCAGCCAGCCTGTAGGGGGAGCAGTTCGCTGGGATCGGAGCGGAGCCAGACGCTGGATCTGCCTCTGGACAATGTGGGACAGTGAGACGCTCGGAAAGTTGCTCGAGCAGCCCGCAGGGATGTACGCGGAGGTAGTCTGACCCTTATCGGAACCGAAGCTGTGAACCGGGCCGGATAAGCTGGTGTTTTTTGTTCGGAGGAAGCGGCCGCAGCGATGGGAATACGGCGCTGAGGAACGGGAGAAAGAAGATGGGAGTCTCGCTGCGGAGCCTGTTGTTGTTGTGGACTTTTTGTTGTCTTGTCCGAGGTGAGTGTGGGTCCCCCGGCATACAGCTGCCCCGTGCCCCGGCGGTTCGGCGGTAGTAGCCTCTGTGCCCCGGTGTTTGCGGTCTTTGGACCGGGGAAGCCCTGCGGGTTTCACTCTGGATGTTTGGAGCTTCGGGCCGAGCGGAGCTAACGTTAGCTTCCTGCAGTGCTAGGAGCCGCTCGCAGCCCGGGGTTAGTCTGCGCTTTACCCCCACGGAGCCCGAGTGTAGTCCCGCTGCTGCACACCCAGGAGTGGTTTCCAGGGTTATTTGGAGATTTAAATAATTTTGGATCCGATTGTTGGCCATTTGATCTCTGTTTTCCTAAAAGTGACTGTTCGGGAACAACAAGTGGAGCTCTGGAAGCTAGTTAGCATCAGGAGCTAGCAGGTTGGACAAAGACCAGCTGCCTTTAGTTTTTACAGAGTCGAGTTTAAACTGGTACAAATGTTAATTATCACGAACATCTGCAGTTTAGTACGTGTTCAGCTTGAGACTGACCCGTTACAATGCACAACATTAATACAGCATACCTTCAGAAACACACACCTGGCCAGTGGAAATCTGCAGCAGCATCTAAAATAAACCAAAGACAGAAAACAAAGTTTAAATTTTTATTAAACCAAGCAAAGCCTGAAGACCTCTCAGTTCTTGTGGCTTCAGGAACATCTGTGCAGACTCTGAGCTCCAGGATGGATGATGTCTGCCTCTTTCTCCTGGTCAATCAAGTAACTTGAACTCAGAAGAATAAACCTCAGGTGCATCAGGCACCTGTATGGTTTAACACCTGGGAGTGGTTATTTTTCTTCTGAGCACTTGAAATCATGATTGACAGAGATGATGTACCACAAGGCTCAGTCTTTGGACCCACTCTCTTCACAATCTCCCTCCACAATCTACACAAGTAATGTTGGTCAGATCATTCCTGGTGCGTCCTTACATGCCGACGACACAGTTGTTTATTGTCATGGTAGAACTGTGAGCTGCTCAGGCGTTCCAGCTTCTGCATTCGACATCATCCAGTCAGGTTTGTTCTGTCTCCAACTGGTGCTAAATGCTGATGAAACCAAAGGGATGTTGGATCTGGTTGCAGTTGTAGAAGTTGCTGTAGTTGTGGTTATAGTTGTAGATCTAGTTGCAGCAGCATGACTGCTCAGTGGTTAGCACTGTTGCTTCACAGCAAGAAGGCCTTGGGTTCAATCCCCGGTTGGACCTGGGGTCTTTCTGTGTGGAGTTTGCATGTTCTTCTCATGCTTGCGTGTGTACTCCGGTTTTCTCCCACAGACCAACAACATGTATGTTAGTCTGCCTTCAGGCCCTGGCCTCCCTTGTAAAAGAGATCTGTGATCTCAACGGGATTTGCCTGATTAAATAAAGTTAATAAACAAATGAAATGTAGTTGTAGTTAAAGTTATGGTTGTGGTTGTAGTAGGGGTCCACTGATAAGTCGGCCCCGATTTCCTTAATTTTGGGAAATCGCATATCGGCCGGTACTTGCATGAGAAACCGATTTTACTGATTTTTAAAAAAATTTAATTAAATTTTTAAACTATAATTGTCTGAACTTCATTTATATTTCAGAGCACTACCTCATGGCCAGTTAAAACAAGTATTGTTTCTAGGATATTCTAAAAAAGTTAAGTCTGGTCCTCAGGACATTCAAAAAACAGAACAAAGCAGAAACGTTTCCTCAGTCTGAGGTGCTGTATTCAGCTCAGTCTTATAAATAGCACCTTCTCAGAGTGGATCAACCAGTGAGAAGGCGCTATTTATAAGACTGAGCTGAATACAGCACCTCAGACTGAGGA